CGTCCTACTTAGCCTTCCTCTCGGCCTTTACTATCTCCTAATCCTCGTATACGGTACCGGCAATACCGAGAAGGAAGGCAAGCAACTTATCGAGATTATCCTCCTTATACTACTAATCCTCTAGCCTAGGCGCGACCCGTATTAGCTTCTCTATATCGAGCTGTATATTAAGCTCCTAAGTCTTATACGAACGAGTAAGCTTAAAGACATCCGACATAGACTATATTAGTCTGTCCGGCATATACAAGCTAGCGGGGATGCGGAACAGTCTATTCTTATACGGATGTCTAGCATCGACCTTATCTAAGCACTACTTCTTAATATGCTTAAGTGCGCACCCTAGCCTGCTACTAATTCCTAGGCGGGTAATTAGCTTTACTCGCTTAACTAGTAGCTATAGGAGCTTAGCTATTAGGCTAGTATTATAAACGTTATAGCAATCCTCGTTATCTACTTTCCCGAGTAGATATAGATACTACGTTAGGTGTTCGCCGTAGTGCTCGTTTATTACTACGCGATAGTAGCGACCTAGAATCTTTAGGTAGTTATTAAAGGCGGCTAAAAAGATCTTAGGAATCTTCTTGCGGGCCTCTAGCTCCTTTGAATTCTAAAAGTCCTCTCTAGTCTTACCTTTACCCTTACGGCCTCGAGTGCGATTATTATCGCTAGCATCTGTTTCGGCTTTACTACGGACGTTATCTTCCTAATTAGAAGTACTACTAACATCCTCTCTAGGCAACTCTTAGCGTAATCTACTAGGTCTAGCAGTATAGCGACTACCGCGACTACCGCGACCTCTACGACCTCTACGACCTCTACGATCTCCGCGACCTCCGCGACTACGACTACTCCTACCGCGACTAGCCCCTCTACTATATTCTAGTAGTAGGAGGATTAATAACATACTAGAGTCTAGAGGTATAAGTTTAATATAGTCTCTAGTATAGTATAGAATGAAAATAAAGGCGCGAGGACGATAGAAGTGTAGCTTATTAAAGAAGCCCTATTCCGTAATTAATACAAGGAGGCGAGCAATACGACCTAGGCGCTACTATAAGTCGCTAGCATCTCGTATAATATTAAACTTCTATTAGTATATATTAGCGATATCCGGCATATCTAATCCTATACTAGTAGCTATAGTAGCGGCTATATACCGAATATTAGAGTCTCCTTTATAGAACTCGTTATATCGATTATCCTAGTCTAGTTTAGGTATATACGTAGTATAGAAAGAGACAGTGCGAGTTACATCTATACTAGGACCTTTGCTATACTAGTATCGCTTAGTTAGATCCGGGTTGTCCTTAGTTAGATATAGTAGCTAGCTACGAGCGACGTCGATAAAGTTGTTAATATAGCTACGACCGTCGATAAATACGAGAGACTTCCGTATATTCTAGGGAGTAGCCGAGCTAGCGGAGATGTTCTCTTCGCTATTTAGGTACGCTATAGCATTGTCGACTACGATATATAGTATATCGTAGTCGCTAAGATGCTTATACGGAATAAACTTAATAATATATATTACCTCCGGCCGATCGATACTACTACGAATAACCTTAGTTTCGAATGTACTATCTCTCTCCTTACGTAAGCTCGCATGCTTCTTAACGTACGGCCTAGACTTATCGTTAAGAGTAGCAGTTATATATAGAGTGTTAGTATCGGTACGTAGATAGTCGCGTACTTAGTAGACCTACGAATACTCGTTACGAAATCCTAATAGCTCTCCCTATTTGTATATTAAATAACACTCGTCGAAGACGATAAGACTAACTCGTTCTCGCATACGAGGATCGTTTAGGAGCGATAGGAATTAAAGAGATGCTATCTACTTAGGACTAAGAAGGATATACTAGATACGGCCCTCTAGGATATTCTTAAATATACTAGGATCGATCTTCTTAGTTTCCGTAGAGATATGTATAGCATAAAGCAGTCTAGACGTAGACGCCGCTATATGTTCTATTACTGCTGCTTGTTCGGTACCTAGGCGATTTAGCGGAGTGTACTAGATAACAATCTTGCCGGTTATTAGCGTATATCCCTAGAAAGGTAGACTCTTACCCTCTCCTATACGGGCGATAAATAGTACGTCGTTCTAGCTATAGATTAAGGCGTATAGGACTGCGACCTATAGCAACGTCGGTACGTATCCTATACTAGGGTATTTCAAATCGAGGATCTTAATTAAGCCCTTCTCGATAATCTCTCTCTAGAACTAGATAGTCTCCTTAAATTAGCCTACCTACTATACTAACTCTTAAATACGAGCTATAGATTCTTAGGGCATCTTCTCGATTCTGCGGCGGAAATAGCGCGGCAATTCGGAATATAGTTAAGGCAGCTAGGTAGGTAGTATACCGAAATCTAGACGCGTACAAGATACTGCTACGCGACCTAGTAGTAGCGCCTAGTTTAGCTCTTATCGTACGAGTCTCGCCGCTTTCTAGCGCTCTTTCTTCTTAGCCTTACGGCGTTAGCGCCTCTACTTGCTAGACTCGTTAGTAGGTATTCTAGACCTGCGTATACGCGCACGTATACGCGTACGCGCTTAATCTGTCGATATGTATATATATACGCTGCTATATATCGATAGTCTCGGCGAAATCGATAATATTAGCGAAATCGATAGAGCTAGCGAAATCGATAGAATTAGCGGTAATAGCGAGAGCGGAATAAGGGCGGCTCGACTCTAGATACGGATATACGGACTACTAGCGGAGCTTATATAACACTTAAACTTTGCACCTATATACTGCTATTTACGTATTACGCGCGAGAAGTAAAGTAAAGAGATACGGATTGCTAGGCGTATTTGCCTTACTAGGCAGCTACGAAGTATATAACTAGAATATAGTTAAGAGGATACGCGGAGGTTCTAGAGGGCACTAGAATAGTAGACCTCCTATACTCTACTATTACGCAGGTATAGCGTTTGTCTAGTCGTAAATCTAGTAGGGGTAGACAAATAGGATAGCTATAACTAGTAGTTTACGTTTCTCGCTTATAACTTTTGCATTTCTTAAATAACGGTTTTATTACTATAGACAAACATTTTGTTTACTAAATTATCTAGAGCCTCGCTTATATATTTATAAGCTAAAAGTATATAGTTGCTAAGCTATTTAGTTAGTTTAGTACTAGTTAGTATGCCTATAACCGCAACTAAGCCCGGATAGAACGGTTTGTCGTTAGGCGCTTCGCTAGAATAGGAGGAACGACGCTAAACCTAATTAGTTATAGTCCTTTACGTGCTTCCTCTTACATAATATACGAGTATTCTATAAAGCGCCTAAATAGGAGGTAGGACTCTAGTAGTAGTGTCGCGTAGTAGACGACCCTTCCTTTTATAAGTTAGAACATTCCGTCCTTTGCAATTTGCTATCGGTTAATATAGTTCGTCGATTTATTCCTTAAATTAAGAAAGAGATCTGGAAACCAGACTAGACATCGATCCGATTCCCAATCCGGAGAAACGTCCGCCTACCCTACCACGTGTTACTACTTATTTCCCCTCCTATAGAACCCACGGCTTTCTCCCGCTTGAAAAGGACCGACACTTTTTTTTCCCGCCAATTCATGCTGTTTGATTTCGCTCTCTTTTATTTTGATGCGTGAGAATAGTCAGGGTCAAATTGAAAAACCTTGATATACATGATAGTACTAACATTCAAGGCTTGGCTCTTGCGGTCGTCGCTCCACCTGGGTAGAAAGAGAGCTCGTGCGCACACAATCTTTTAACATCTCCCTGGTTAGGGTTGTAGGCCTCTGATCTGTCTTATATCAGAGGTAGGTCAGATATGGGGTTCGCCACTTTGCTGTAAAAGCCGAGATTCGAATGAATGTCGTGGTGAGAGAACAAGGAGTCTGTTAGGCGGTAAGACTTGGCCGTCTCCAGTCGAGGCCTACCTAGAACTCGCGTCCCGTCAAAGCCCTCACTAGACCTGCACGAGCTTTCAGGCTTTCGCAATGGGGTTGCGCTTGCGGTCTGTCAAGCCTTTCAGAGGTGCCTAACGAATCGTCCCGGCGTTTTGAGCTGGTGGTATCGTTGTATCATTCTTTTTAAGTGTATTCGTCGCTTTTCCAAACTTTCTGGCGTGCTATCTTGTAATATGGTCTCGGATAATCTGACATTCGAGAGACATATATGGTCCCAGTGGATCGAAGCTACGTCAGTGCGACCGATTGAGGTTGTTGGAACCCAGTATTCGCCAGGATCTGAAGCTTAACGTAACCCGATGAGAAGCAAGCAGAGAGTAGAACCCCATTCGCTTGCTTGCTTGTTTGCTTGCTTGATATATGTACATTCAGTTTCTATGCCCTGTAATACTGCCATTGATCAGCTTATGAGCTCATCCCGAACCCGACCTGGCACCCACCTCGTCCATGATAGCACCTCTACTGCTTCTTGGAGCCAGAGACAATATCATCCGCATCTTTCCTGTCCTTCGCGAGCTGGGCTTCTGCATCGGCAATCTTCTTTCTCAGAGCCGCAAGCTTCTCCTGCTCCTGCTTCCTCACATACATGTTCTCATCGGCTTGCTCGCGCTTGGTGAAAGCGTCTCCCTGCGCCGCACCTCCAGCGCGGGTGGCACCGGTGTCTCCTCCTGCCATTCTTCTGGCGGCAATGCTGAAGCTTCGGTATGAGGTGGTGGCCTTTGGCAGCTGGCGGGCGACGGTTCGGAGTGCGGACATGCTATGGAGGGAGGATGGTGAGCTAGATGTGCAGGGAGCGATGGATGGATAGATGCTTACTTGGTAGATTGAGAGTTTGTGATGGGATGTGTGTACTTGGAGACTTCTGTGCTTGCTGTTGTCAGGTGCTTGGTGCTTGTTTCGTGCACGGGACCGCTGGATGACGTTTCTGAGCTCTTGACGCCAAGACACGCGCTGACAGGGATTATCGTCACGCTACGAACTTTCCAGCTTCCAAGGCAACTGCATCACGACATCTCGACATCGACGTCTTGCTCACCTGCCACAAAAATGATATATTGAGGAACACTTGAATCGATCTCCAACCACAGTCGCCGAAAAATTCTCAGGCGATTCGACAACGACACCATGCCGTCAGTAGCTCTGCCTCTACCTCCACCAGACTCGCCATTCGGGCAGTTCGTTCGCGCCAACTTCTCCCCAGCTTTCTTGTATCCTCTCAAAGGCATGTGGTACTTTGCTACCCATCGCTACCTGCACCCGCTATTGAAAGGACGTCTGATACCTCTGTCTCTGCTTTCAGGCTGCATTCTGGCCATCCTCTTTGTCACAGCTTACCTACCAGTCGTTGCGTTTCTGGCAATCTTCCATTACAAGGGCTCAGCATGGGTCAACGGCACGTTCTTCATCCTGGGCATCGGAGCACTGGTCATTCAGCTGCTGTTCGAAGGTCTGCTCGCCGACCACACGCAGGTGGACATCTTCGACGCCGTTGTTGTTGCCGAAGGATATGAGCATCTGGTCAAGAACCGTCGAACTGTATCCGACAACATCGATGAAAGCGATCCCTACAAGCGACTTGGGCCTAGAGACAAGGGTGCACAGTTTGCTCCATTCTCCATCCGCCAAATAGTGGAGTTGGTAATACTCCTGCCACTGAATTTTGTGCCGTTTGCAGGCGTTCCGCTATTCCTACTGCTGACCGGCTATCGAGCCGGGCCTCTGATGAACTGGCGATATTTCCAGATCAAGCAATTCCGCAGAAAAGACAGGAAGCAGTTCATCAAGACGAAGCAACGCAGGTTCGAATACATGTGGTTTGGAACAGTCCATATGATCTTGCAGCTGGTGCCTGTCTTGGCTATGCTTTTCCTTCTTACCACAGCTTGCGGCAGTGCCTTGTGGAGTGTTCACGTCGAGCAGCAACTCCAGGACTCGCAGGAAGAACAAGAACCGACAGCTGAAGACGATCCCCCAGCGTACACAGATGAGCCTTGAAGCAGAGGCTGAGACAAGTCTAAGGTTGCGTCATAGATGCATAGAGTAATAGAATTGGCATTGTGGAGAGTACTGCTTGATGGCAGTCTTGGATACACAGCAATGACTGTGCCTCTCTCTCCCTACGCAAAGACGGCGTTATTTTTGGACCAACATACGGCAGTCGTAACAGGCTTGGTGCATTCTCGAGGTGAGGCTGACTCCTGCATCATTCTTGCTTGTGTACTTGGGGTCCCAATTCTATACTCACTGGAAACCAGGCCACAAGCAGACCGACACATGGAGATGGAAGAATGACCCTGAGCTGAAATGGCATACCAAATGGGATCCCACTGACCGACATTGTTTCCCTGATGGCCGGGTGCTCATCATTGACTATGTCTCGCAGGAGCAGAGCACTCAGGTTGGCGATGGCAAACGGCACATCGCCGTAGCTGCAGCGGAGTTCTCAGGATTACACGAACTCGAGAAATTCTCCCAAGACCTGAAGAGACTGAGACAAGCTGCTCTGCGCGTCATCCACGTCCAGAATGCTAAATGGCCGACGCAGTCCCTGCTGTGCAAGTTCAACATTGACAACAGGAACGAGCTCGTGGGCATGCCAGGATTCTCGATGTGGACCAAATATGAGAGGCCATGCCAGCGGAATGGTAAACCTTTTCTAGATGGACGATCCTGGCGAGGACAGATTTTCAAACGTCAAAAGTCCATATGCTCGACGTCGTACCACTCTCGCTGGAAGTAATCAGTGAAGATAGGCCCGGCAGTCGTGACAGCAGCGGCATCATGATTGAGGAGCGAAATTTGTCGGACTCCGAAAGTGCAATGATGCTGGTGAATGGTCGTCTTATGCGGTCGGAGGTGCAGAGAACAACAGGAAGGCATCAACATAGCAGACGAGTGCCAATTCACATTGTCAGAGATATAATCGTAGATGCCATATCCAGAAGATATCAAAATGTGATGTCTAAAAATGTTTTGCCTCATCGCTTACCAACGGCGTTCGTTGCGGACAGACTCGGAAGAGCTTTCGGCCCGGACATCATTGAACTTCGCGAGACAAGCAGAGCAGCAGCTCTCACTGCTCAACACACTCACTCCACTTCCACCTTTCCTCTGCACCCCTCGCACACTCTGCGGCAATGTTCAAGGCTGTGATAACCCGTGCGCCTATGCGCGCTGCCCTTCGAACTGCCACACAGAGCTCACCTGTTTTCCGCGCCTCACCCAGCACATCCCTGCTCCAGAGTCGGATATCGAGAAGTAGAGGATATGCTACGGAAGCTGGTAAGGGCTAGATGCCGAACCGGAGAAGAAAAGACATATACTAACATGTAGCAGAGGAGAAGGATCTCGTAATCATCGGAGGTGGCGTTGCGGGATATGTGGCGGCCATCAAAGCTGGACAGGAGGGCTTGAAGGTACCTTTTACCAGAAAAAGAGCTACAAACAGACGCCAGACGCTGATGCAGACATCTTTCTAGGTCACCTGTATAGAAAAGCGCGGCTCCCTCGGCGGCACATGTCTCAATGTTGGCTGCATCCCATCGAAGTCCCTCCTCAACAACTCGCACATCTACCATCAGATCCTCCACGACACCAAGAACCGCGGAATCGAAGTCGGCGAGGTCAAACTCAACCTCCAGAAAATGATGCAGGCAAAGGAAACATCGGTATCGGGTCTGACAAAGGGCATTGAATATCTGTTCAAGAAGAACAATGTCGAGTACATTAAGGGCACTGGAGCTTTCGCTGACGAGCACACCGTGGCCGTCAATTTGGTCGATGGTGGCGAGACGAGCGTACGAGGCAAGAACATCATCATCGCGACTGGATCGGAGAGCACACCTTTCCCTGGCTTGACCATTGACGAGAAGAGAGTCATCACTTCGACTGGAGCCATCGCGCTGACTGAGGTGCCTAAGAAGATGACCGTGATTGGTGGTGGTATCATTGGTTTGGAAATGGCTAGCGTCTGGAGCAGACTGGGCACTGAAGTGACTGTTGTCGAGTTCTTGGGCCAGATTGGTGGTCCGGGCATGGATGCGGATATCAGCAAGAACATCCAAAAGATCTTGGGCAAGCAGGGTCTCAAGTTCATGCTCAACACCAAGGTCACCCAGGGCGATGCCAGCGGATCTCAGATTAGGCTCGACGTTGAGGCCGCAAAGGGCGGCAAGGCACAGACGGTAGGCCGCACTCCAAACCAAACCAGGCTGAGAATACCCGCTGACTGACTTCCTCTGCAGCTCGAATCCGACGTCGTCCTCGTCGCCATCGGTCGTCGCGCCTACACACAAGGCCTGAACCTCGAAGCAATTGGCCTCGAAACCGACAACCGTGGCCGCCTCGTAATCGATAGCGAATACCGCACCAAAATTCCTCACATCCGCGTCATCGGCGATTGCACATTCGGACCCATGCTCGCGCACAAAGCCGAAGAAGAAGCCGTCGCAGCCATAGAATTCATCACCAAAAACTACGGCCACGTAAACTACAACGCAATCCCCTCCGTCATGTACACACACCCAGAAGTCGCCTGGGTCGGTCAAAACGAAGCCGAACTCAAAGAAGCCGGAGTGAAATACAAGGTCGGAACTTTCCCCTTCTCTGCAAACTCCCGTGCAAAGACGAATTTGGACACCGATGGTATGGTGAAATTCCTCGCGGATCAGGAGACGGATCGGATTTTGGGTATTCATATTGTTGGACCTAATGCTGGTGAGATGATTGCGGAGGGAACTTTGGCGCTGGAGTATGGTGCATCCACCGAGGATGTGGGACGGACGTGTCATGCCCATCCTACGCTTGCTGAGGCGTTTAAGGAGGCTGCTATGGCTACTTATGGCAAGGCTGTGCACTATTAGAGAGGAGAAAGGTTCTTTTTTCTGGTTGATGTAAAAGCGATCATACGGGTCTATGACAGGGGATCCGAGAATCGTAGAATCATGAAATCTGCAGCATTACGGACGGTGTATTGCGTTTTGTCTATAGCTAGCTCTCTCGTCATGCATGCCGAACTTAGTGTTGTATCATATTTCACCTGACGAGCAACAAACTCTTGCCGTTCCATTGCGTTCGATTCCAGATCGCATTGCTTCTCGAATGCTAACGCTCTCTGAAAACTCGAAACCTGATGGCGATCTATGGCTTGCAGCGCTCCATATACCGCGGATACAAGCAGCATTCTCGCACGGTGAATTGGTTGCACAGCCATGCTAGGAAGCGTTCCATACCCAAACCATATCCACCGTGCTCCGAAGTACCGTAGCGACGTTGATCAGTATACCAGTAGTATGGAGCTGGGTTCATGCCTTCACGCTTGTACGCGGCCATGAGCTCGTCGTAGTCGTGCATGCGCATCGAACCACCGACAATTTCACCAACGCCCGGGATAAGGACATCTACTGACTCCGTGACACGTGGGTCTTCCTTGTCTTTTTGCATGTAGAAAGATTTGATCTCGACTGGGAAATGTGTGAGGAAGATGGGTCGGTTGATGATGTCGGTCATCTTGCGCTCGGCGGCTTCGGCGATGTCGTCGCCGAAGTTGTGTGGTTGACCTTCTTCGTTTGGGATTTCATGTTCGCGGAGCCAGTCAATTGCGTCGGAGTATCGCATTCGCATGAAAGGTCGCTCTGGCATTTTGAAGTCGGGATTGAGTTCCTTGATCATTTTGGCGATTCGTGGTCTGGCCATGACTCTCTCGAGCACGCCACAGATCATGTCTTCAAGATGCTGGAGGAGGTCGTTGAAGTTGATGAAGTCAAGCTCGGCTTCGACGTGGGTGTACTCTGATAAGTGGCGACGAGTTAAAGACTTCTCGGCGCGGAATGATTTTTCGATGCAGTAGGTGTTGCCACCAAATGGGAGGACGGTCTCGAGATAGAGCTGAGAGGATTGTGTGAGGTATGCTGGTTCTCCATAGTAGTCAAGGGTAAAGAGTGTGGCGCCGCCTTCGACTTGAGTCTGCACGAAGGCGGGCGGTGACACCTTGAGGTATCCGAGTTCATCGTAGATGTCGTTGAAAGCTTTCTCCACGGCGTGACGTACCCACATGACTGACGAACGCTCCTCACCACGAAGCGTCAAATGTCGTTGATCGAGAAGTGTCTGAGCATCACCCTTTTCTTGTACCTTGTTGGTGATCGCATCTTCACCGCCTGGCGCCTTGCCAATGATTTCGAAATAGTCGGCTTGCAGTTCGCGGTCGTTAGGGGCATGTGCGCCTGCTGGTACGTCCTTCAACTTGCCGAAGATGGCCATGCTCGTCTCACGGGTCAGAGTAATTGCATCGTAGGTCTTAGCGAGGTTGCCGGTCAGTACGCATTGCATGAACCCAGAGCCATCCCTCAAAGTAATGAACAGGAGCTCTTTCTGCTGCCGCTGGCGATGTACGCGACCTTCTCTTGTCAGTATAGTTCTACTAGCAGATTTTGATGCAAGCATACCGGTGACCTTCACCCGCGTATCCTTGAGCCCTGGTCGAGTGTCATCAAGTATAATCGGCTTAGCCTCTGGCAAGCTCTTGTCCTCCGTGATAATGATGCTCTTGGCTGCAGCGACTGTCTTTTCTCTTTCCTCTTGTTCTTTCGCGATTCTCAAAGCGAGCTCTTTCTCTTTGCCTGCCTTCTTCTTTTGCTGGTCGGCATAGTTGACAGCTTTCTTCATAGCAGCCTTCGCGGCTGGCTTGTAACTAGTACAGGCTGGTCAGTACCCATTGAGTTATAAGCGGGTGTCCCAATGGCATATCATGTGCTATAAGCACAGATTCTGCCATAATCTATAATGAGACCTACACTGCTGGCTCATCATCGTTCTCCTTCTTCTTGACTAGATATTGTGCTTGGTCCAGATGCTGGAGATATGCGAATTGCAGTGTCTTGTATGGCTTTGTTTGCGATCCGTCAGCTTCTGGGGTATCTTGCCCGACCTCCTCATCAATGTGAATCGTCTGCTTCTCGGCGTCGGCCATATTCGTGTCGCGTGTTGTCTTGCAGATCAAGAGAATTGGGAGGGTTTCCGTTTCCGTGGTATTTTGGAAATGCCCTTCGGAGTCATTGGCCAACATTGGCCAAATGATTCAGACGGATGGCACAAGCCGCCGGGATCCTGCATTAGCCCCCGCTGATGCGCAACCTTGAAACTTGACGCGTTTCGTGACTTTCGTCGCTCTCGGGCTGCTTACCCATTCACCGACGTGCTCTGGACATGAGCTCATGGGAGACAAATGCCATCTATCATCGGAATCTCGCCGGTGTCAAAGAGCTTCTCAAGAGAAGCGTAGATTATAACCATCGTGAACATGCCTCGGGAGCGATAGGCTATCATAAATTTGAGAAAGGCTTTCTACCTGCTCTGCCGATTTTGCTGGAAGCTGGAGCAGATGCTAATAACGCCTTGGAATCAGCTATATTTCGTAGCCATCTCGAGGCCGTGAATGTGTCGGGATACGATACGCTCAAACGAAACATGCGGAAGATGAAGAGCAGGAGAGGGAGGACCAGGAATTGCGCGATAGAGGGGGTTATTGGGTTATTTGGAGGACGAGGACGAATGGGCGGAAAGGAGAGTTTGTGTAAGGAAAGCGAGGAGCTATAATGGAACTGTTGGAGAAGTGGAGTGTTTCTCAAACTCGAGACACAGATAGCGCTATCTCTTAGTCAATAGCTAAGCTCGTTGCTTCATAGACAGAGGCCGGAAAGCATCAAGCTATCGCGAGGCGGCCATAGAGATAATACGGTCCTGCTGCCGTCCTTTCTCGCAAACAGCTTGACAGAGCATTGACTTGCGTACGTTGGCAAGCAATGGGATGTTGTCTGGCCTAGACATCCTGTCGCTTGACGCCAGCGCTGGTCCCCGCCAATGCCAAGACTCGCACATGTCGTTTTCACCGCTCTCCCGAACTACTAGCTCACCGTCTCCCATCCTCAACACAGTGATAGGTTGAACAAATACGAAGTCGATGTGCATGCAGCCTTCTTAAATGTAGCTGTAAGTTTGTCAACCAATCAGCGGCCGAGTAAGTTTCGATCAAGCTCCACCATCATTTCCAGTCTTCTAACCTCTAAGCAGATGGTCTAGTGGTATGATTCTTGCTTTGGGCTGTACACCAACTTGCAAGAGGCCCCGTGTTGTGAGTGGTCAACGCACTTCAAGAAGCGTTTCTTAAGTCTAATATCTTAATCGTAGCGATCCACGGTTCGGCCCAAGGTTATTCCTGCAGGATATACTTGGAATTTCGCACTACCTCTCTATAACGTTATTTTTTTTTTGCAAGTGAATCACTTTTTGAATCACTTTGCCAAGTCTCTTCACTTTCACACTAGTCCTCACCTATTCCCTTTCAAATTGGGTTCGGATTTCGACCGGACCCGAAGACCAGATACCCTCGCTGTGATTTGCTCAGCGGGTCATTGATCTGGCACCTCACTCGTAACTCACATTCGCATTATCTCGGTAAGTCTTGCTTCTTCGACTCTAAGCAATTGCAGTTGCATCCGAGCATCCTCAGCAGTATGTCTTCTGCAGAAGCGAAGGACTTCATTGGTGAGTGCCTCCAGCTCTTCTGACGCATCCCGACCTTCCGCCTTCGCATCATCCACAGCTTTCCATGTCTCTGCAATCTTCTCGAATACAACAGGCCAGAGGACACATTTCCTGGCGCAGTGGATGAAGAACAACTTGTCCGGAAGGTCGCGATTGATGTCTTCACGCAAGCCCTCAAGGATCTGCGGCTCATTCGGGATGCCATAGATGGAGAGCTGGTTGCCAAAGCTGGAAAAGATGGTCCAAAGAGTGTTCAGAGCGACGTCGGCAAAAGTGATAGAGAGCTTGTCGGATATGCTCGTGCCTTGCAGTCGCCATTGTCCGAGGCCGGTACATTGAAGCGAGCGATTTCGACGAAGAGGCTCAAGCATTCCATTTCGCTTTATTACGTCCTTCATGTAGCCAAATTCTGACTGATGGAAGTGGTAGTCGACAACCACGGATTGCAGCCGAGGCAGTTCGGAGAGAGCATTAATGAACCCTACAGCAGTTGGCTGACAAACCTCGCAGCAGCCAGCCAGATACATATGATTTCCTCCGGAGTATGAGCTGCATTTGATTGATTGCGAGAAGTTCTTGACGAGAAGATGCCGAACCTGATCTCTTCGTAACGGAGTTTGAAGGTCGTAGTCGGTATAGTGGCAGAAGTCATTGCGGGTCACCATAATGTTGTTGAGGTCATAGAGAAGCGGCAGAGCTTCATTGTGTACCTGGCGATTTGCGCGCAGAATTCCAGTATTTGGTGAGCCGGCAACAACCTGCCGCAGCTTCAGTGGTCGTTCGAAGGCGAGCACGTGTTCGTAGATAAGAGCTCTCAATTCGCCAGGGAGACGAGTGAGAAAATAACATGGAGTCTCTTCATCCATGACAACGCTGATCGGTACCTGCTGTACTGTCGGTAACTTTCAATAGTGGTGTATTTGGCTGGATAGCAGAGAAGGATAGTTGATGATAAGATTAAGTTTTATAGGAGCTAGGAAATGGGCAAGGCAAATGCCTCGCCACTTCCCCGAGCCCCAGCTACCCGCCCGAGCCCCAGTAGATATACCGATATAGAATCGGCTTGAATGAGATAACGTGCTGTTTCCACCTATTACATATCATATCCATTCTTGGTTGGTGGCGCGGAGCGCGTTACCTAGGAAGTCGCGCCTCCAACGACAGGCTGCTTGGCAACACCACTACACAGCCAACAGGACGGCCACTTCACCACCAGGTGCTGCAACAACAGCACCATCAGTTCACTCAGCAGCAGTATTATATGCAGCAGCAGGCTAGTCAGCATCACGTGGTTACAAGGCTGCAGGTCGTAATCCGCTTGGACCTGAGTAGATAGCAACCAACAACACCTTGAATTTTGCTATACCACTGATTTGCTAACAAACTTTGGCTTCATGGCTGGCAGCAGTGGTTGCCCGGTCGGTGGTGGTTGCGGGGATCCGGAAATCGCTTCCCTACGCGATTTTGTTAGGAACAGCGGATTCCATAATCCACTGTATCCACTGTATTACTGGGGCTCGGGCGGGTAGCTGGGGCTCGGGGAAGTGGCGAGGCGGCAAATGCGGTTTGGGGGTCTTGATGATTGCGTTTATCTCGCGCGTTCAGACGGACACCATAGCTGTGGCCTGTGGAAGCCTTGCTATAGATACGATATGCGGAGGGCGACGGCATGCCACCAGCCTCGTGTTTGCTTCAATATCCCATTGCAACCTGCCATGTCCGCAAAATCCATACATATGCAGAGGACAGAAGCGCCTCCAGGATGTCGCATCGGCGTGCTGGTTGCCGTGGAGCAGTGTTTGGCGGGGTCATTCACTCCCTGCTCGCCTAGCGCCGTTCCTGCGTCTGGACTCTCGACCTTTTCCACCACGTCCTTTTGGCGGAGTATACTTCTCCGAATTTGACGATGCTGGTCTTGCTGGAGTAGGGGAATAATCATAGCGAGAGAAGGAGCCGAGCAGCTTTGTCTGCAGGTCGACGTACCACCACCACCATCACCCCACGCCACATACCGCTACAACAGCACAACACAACACTGCCCAGCTGCGCTCGAAAACAACACCGTCGTCCCGAGCGCGTCGCGCGCGAAAGGCATCACCATGGCCTTCCTCTTTGGCCGCAGTCGGCAGCGGTCTGCGCTTGACATGGTCAAGACAGTGAAAGATCTGCTACAGAAACTCCCGCGGGAAGATGGCCAGACTTCAAAGGTACACATAGCTACAACCGATGTTGCAAGCAATATACTGAACGATATCAGATCGAAGAAGAGCTGGCGCGTAACCTCTCACAGATGAAAGTCACACTTCAAGGCACACCTGAAGTCGAAACCTCGCCCGATCAAGTCTACCAGCTCGTCTCCGCGATCCTCTCAGAACAGCTGCTCCCTTACCTCGTCGACAGTATATACCGCCTACCGTTCGAGGCAAGAAAAGATACGCAAACAATCATATCCAATGTCTTCAGATGGCGAAGTCCGGGCAGTACGTCCAGCGAACCCGATGCTCTGAAAGAGGTGATACGCAAACAACCTGAGATTATAGTTGCGTTATGCAGTGGCTACGATCGCAGAGAAAGCGCCTCAGCATGCGGAGGCATTCTCAAAGAAGCTTTGAAACACGACGCTGTGGCAGCAGTGATACTGTATGACGAACCCTCTGAAGACGGCAAAACAAGAGACATCTACAACGACGTCGACGTCTCACAAAAGGTCACCGGAAAAGGAGTCTTCTGGAGCTTCTTCACCTGGATCGACAAATCCTCCTTCGAAGTCTCCGCCGACGCCTTCGATTGTTTTCGCCTAATACTCACGAAACACAAACCCCTCGTGGCGCAATACATCAACACGAATTTTGATATGTTCTTTCAGAAGTACAATGAGATTCTGATAAAATCGGATTCTTATGTTACCAAGAGACAATCTATCAAATTGCTCGGAGAGGTCTTGCTGGATCGCCAGTTCTATGAGGTTATGTGTCGGTATGTGGAGTCGGGCGATAATTTGAAGTTGGTCATGTGGCAGTTGAAGGATGATAGGAGGATGGTGCAGTATGAGGCTTTTCATGTTTTTAAGGTGAGTTGACCAAAGCTTTTGCCGCGCAGTGGTGGTAAGTGATGCTGACATCTTCCAGATCTTCGCTGCCAACCCGAACAAGTCCTCAGAAGTTCAGAAATTCTTGATCATGAATAAAGCGCGACTTCTAAAATTCTTGCCGCGGTTTCTGGAGGACCGAACAGACGACGATCAGTTCAATGACGAGAAAGCATGGCTGGTGAAGGCCATTGGCAACCTACCTGATACAACTGCCGGGATACGTCCAAGTACAGCAACAGCGAGTCCAGCCCCGAGTAGTGGAGTGCCGCAGCAGAGCACTGGTGCTCAACAAGTGCGATCATGACGAGGCAGGATATGAGCACGCAGGGCTGTGATTTTGACGAAGGAAAACACATGTCAGGGCGACTTTGGAAGGCATTCTGGCGTATGTTGGCATCTGGTGTTTTATGTTTTAGCGCTCTGATGAGGCTGGCGTTCATGGCACCGCCGGCGGGCACGCGGAAAAGAGCGTTGAATGTTAGGATTGAGCTGCATGGGGCGCATGATTGACGATACTGGTGTTTGGCAGTGCTGCTCGTTTGCTGTTTGGGAAGCATTACCTGGGGAGTTGCAGACATTGCATCCATATATGATGTGTTGACGGCCGCTTTCAACTGCTGCGCTTTGTTCCACTCTGCTTTTGCGTGCGGGCATCGCTAAGGTTAGGAGGACCGCCCGGGCCGTCCCGCTGGTCAGAACTACGTCATATGGAAAGCGTCAACTTCCAGAATCCACATCAAGCACTTGGCCTTGTCGCGGCGGCGCTAAAATTTCGCAAGTGATGCGTGGTCGGTTTGCGGCGAGAAGTGCGAGAGGCCTGATCAATCCTGAAGTCTCCAAGCGACTCAAGATTGTGTCCCGAAGGCGACGCGGCCTGCCGAGTGGTGCAAGATGCGATGGGCGAAGACAGGCCAGGCACAACCAATGGCCGCGCACAGCAGAGCATATAGATCATATGATAGATGACGGCGTGGCACGCGTGGCTCAGCTGTCCTTATTGCAAGACTGTCAGGGCAACGATATGGTATGGAAGATGACAGGTACCGCAGTGCATGGCGGGCAGCTAGCCAAAAAATATCCTATCGCCTATCGGGACACTCACCCAGCGTTTGCGCTTTGCAGCAGCGATGGCGGAAGGAACACGTTTCACAGGGAGGCTGCAGACGATCGCATCCATAATATGCAGTATTTTGGAGGAGTGAGGTCAGCGGGTGAATGAGTGAACGAATTGTCCCAGGGGACGGGAGCAGCACAGTGCCAGAGTGTGACCGTATCTACGTCATCCGCGCCAGGGCCTACCTGCCCACCGTACGCCCAAGCGACGAAGCAAACTCTTAGCAACACCTCAACACCACTGCAGATGAGTTCTCTTCTCGCACTCGCACTCGCCGGCGCCGTGTCCCAATTGTCTCTCAGGACACACTGCGAGGGGGCAGGACGACCGAGAGCGTGGACCGGCGATGAAGTCGTCCCTGCCGCCCAAGGAGACGAGCCACGACGACTCCGAGCACGACGACGGCGACCCGACGCCCACAGACGCACCACCTAGGCCCAGCGCACCTGATACAACACCCACGGCGCGCCCGCAGCTGGTGCGATTGCCCCCGGGGCGCCTGACCGAGATCGATCGAAGTCCAGATGACTCTCCACGAGATTCTTCTCAGCGCCGTGCAGGCCAAAGCCCTGGCGGAGACACGTCTCAGAAGGCTAGACAGCGCGGAACCCGAAACAGCGGAGTGAGGGGCAATACTGCCTCCGTGAACCCGGCGGAAGCTCATGGCAAACTTGACCATCTGAGGGACGCGCTCGAGCAGACCACGCGACACCCTCAGGTCCGATCGCGCAGAAGTTATGGACAGTCTAGCGCGAAAGGCGAGAGGAAACGCGTCTCCCCCATCAAGGAGGAGGGCTCACAGGAGTCGCCTGCCTCGCTCAATGCCGCTGTCCTTGGCATTTCCGCAGACGAGCCGCTGCGCACTGCATCTACAGAGTCCACAGAATCTCAGCGGACCATACGTGGTAGCGTGCCAGCTACACCTTCTGCAAACCAGCCGCTGAGAACGCCGTCTTACCCGTTTCCCTATGTGCCAGGAACGCCGCGGTGGCGAGATGCCTTACAACACCAACCATTCACAACCTTGTCTCCAACTGACAATACACAGCCAGGCGTTGAAGCTGGGACGCCTTGCAGAGAAAGCTTTAGTATGAATTCTGGAGGTAGTACGCCGGCTGCTGGTACTGCTTTCATGCCCCCAGGAGAGACCTATCCACTTGGGCCAGAAGATCCCAGATTTCCGACACCCAATCTTTACGACCTGGTCTTGCAATTGAACACTGAACCTGGTCTAGAGCAATGGTGGTCCACACTCGTCCACATTTTACAGGAGAACTTTGGAGCCGAAAGAGCGACGCTCACGCAGCCACTCGACCCTACTGACATTGAGAATGTGCCATGGGGACAGAAAGCTACGTGGAGCAGATATGGGCATGAGGAGTACGTCTCACAACCCCCAGGTCAGGGTGCCTTATCGGAGACTCCTGGAGCATTCAAACGCCCGGAAGTGACTATCAGGGAGCCTTCGTCTGATACAATCAGTGATCTCAAGCCACAGAAGCTGCATCCTGAAAGGCTGCGACCGCGACTAGAAGCCAGACATTCATATGCGGGACACGGCCGCGAGGTAAGGGAAGTGCTTAATACTCTCAACGACCCTCCTTTGAGAGCAAAGCAACGGCCGCAAGGACTGCAGCGAGGAATTACCCATGCAGCGGGAATGCTTCCCACCATGGGGCCTGATGATATCCCTCCGAAGCGTTTCCCGTCGGCTTACAGCATTCGTCAGGCTTCAGCGACTCTGAGTGATCCTGACTTCAGCAGCGTGGCTGGTGGATTGGACACAGGCCCGTACAAAGAGGTTTTCGGCACGTTGCGCGCCCTGGATCAAGAATTACGGCCCCTCGTAGAAGCAGAAGGTGTCAGCCGTGTCCTGGAGCGCGGCAAAGCAATCGTCATAACAAGAGATTACTCTGATCCCGACAGACCAGCACAATCGCAATCGGCACCTACTGCCTCGTTGGCCGGAGAATGGCATAGCACTTTTTTTGGCGGCTTCCGGAGCGCACTCACTTCAGAGAACGTTTCATCGCTCTTCAAAGACTACCAGGAGTATGAGCAGCATCCGCCTTCGCCGTGGGCGCAATCGCCTGCGCCGTCACCGGCCATCCAAGCAGACGAAGAAATCAATCCCTTCTTCGCATCTGATGATCAGCTGCTCGAAGAGACGTTCAACTCCAACATCAGCCCTCAGGACTACACCAGGTACGAGCAAGTCGAAGCTATCGGCGTCGATCATGCAAGTACTGTACTTCACATTCCTCTGGTTCATCCTACCTTGTCGCAGCCCATGCAGCGACAACGCCTGAAGTCACAGAGGCAGCCACAGAACGCAGGAACTCCTCACCTTCAGCGCACCAATACAGCCGACCTGGACAGGAAAGTACCCATCGCCATCTTGTCCATCCTTGTTCCCATTGTGCCATATCCTGGAAATTTGGCGCACAGCCTGAAGCTGCTTGGACCTCACCTTGCTACCTCTTTCCAGATCTCACAGCAATTTTCTATAGCGCAGGCACATGCTCACAGCATACAGCAACGTAGAACGATCACAGGACCGCCAATGACCATTGAACCTGCTTCACTCGAAGACATTATGAATGTCGAACTCGAGGAGATTCCAGGGTCGATTTCAGGCAGTGTAACGAGTCCATCTGACTACTCCGGCCGCTCACGAGTCAGTCCTTCAGGTTCAATTGTCGGCACTCCAGGTTGGGACCCTGCATCTCATGGATGGACACAGAGCAGGTCTGTCGCTGGTACTCCTGCTTTCTCTGGTTCAGAGATGGTCGATAATTATTTTGATGCCAAAAAGCGAACTGCACATCGAGCAAGCAATGCCAGCGCAAGTGCAGCGCAGACTCCTGCAAAGTCAACGAAGAAGCCTTCCTCCTCCGACAGCCGGATAGCGATCGACGATGTTTCAAGGGCGCCGAGGAACGAACGAAGACCAAGTCGCAATTCAAGTGCCAAGGAGGACAGGTCACCCTTGGCGTCATTCACACGAGAGTGGAGTCCACCGCGCTCAGCAGAAGGCTCATCGCCTCAGGAGCAGAATCGACCCGATCTGCCTGCCTTCCCGGCATTTCAAAAGACAAAGCCTCATTCATTGCTCCACTCCTATGGAGCCGATCTGCAATCAACGTTCGGTATAACACCGACCGCCCATGTCCCTGGTATTTTGCAAAGCCCAGGGATTGGCGCGCATTCGCGCAAAGGCTCCTACCCGGAAGACATGCCACCGCCATCTGAGCGTTTGCTGAGAACCATCATTGATTCCGTACCCGTCCAAATCTTTACTGCTCAACCGGAGTCAGGCAATCTAACATGGGTGAACTCGAAGTTTCTCATCTACCGTGGTCAAGAAGCGCGACAAGTGCTCAATGATCCGTGGGCCGCGATTCATCCACAAGAGCGGAATCAGTTCATGGATTCATGGCGGCGATCACTGAGGTCTGATCAGCAATTGCAGCAAAAGGTCAGGCTCCAAAGATTTGACGGAAAATATCGCTGGTTCTACGTCAGAGCTGCGCCGCTCAAGGACAAGCATCAGAAAGTAGTGCATTGGATCGGCACTATGATGGATTTCCATGAGCAGCAGATTGCCGAACACAACGCGGCTCGGCAGGCCGAAACGGCAGCATCTGAGAAGAAGTATCGTGCACTTGCCAACTCCAGCCCACAGATTGTGTTCGCCGTCAGCAGATCTAAGGGAGTTACATTCTGCAACACGCAATGGCTGTCGTACTCGGGACAGTCGGAGGCTCAAGCTCTTGGCGCAGGCTTCATGGAGCATGTCCATCCGGACGATCTGGTCAAATGCCGTCTGCCTACGTTTGATGGAGACCAGACAACACCTACAAATGTGCCGACCTCACTGCCAACGGAACCAAGACGTACCATGTCGAACTCTGCATCAAGCGATTCGTCAGAAACCGAGAGACCCGGGTCCATAGCAGAATCGACATCGTCACCAATCGCTCAAATGCCGCAGAAGAAGCTTTCTGAGCTTGCTAGCACCGGCATTTTAAAAGTTTCCCACGATGCAGATGGACGTCCCTCGTACTCCACTGAAGTACGTCTCAAGTCGAAAGATGGCGACTACCGGTGGCATCTTGTGCGCGTCTTGCTTGCAGAGCCATCAATGAAGCAAGAGAGTGCCGAAGAAACCTGGTATGGGACCTGCACGGACATCAACGATCACAAGGCGCTGGAACGAGACCTCAAGACCGCCATGGACGAGAAGACCAGATTCTTAAGCAACATGTCGCATGAGATTCGAACTCCTCTCAATGGTATCACAGGCATGGTGAACTTCCTGATCGACAGCAGTCTGACTACGGAGCAAATGGAACACGTCAACATCATTCGTGCCAGCACTGAAGGTCTTCGAGGCTTGATCAACGACATCCTCGACCTGTCCAAAGCGGAAGCTGGTATGATTCAGCTCAACTGCGATTGGCTATACGTTCGCGCTTTAATTGAGGAAGTCAACGACCTCACTTCAGCCATGGCTGTCGACAAAGGCTTGGAGCTTAACTACATTGTGGAGGAAAACGTGCCATCGCAAGTCAAGGGCGACCGCTTCCGCATACGCCAGATATTGCTGAACATTGTGGGCAATGCGATCAAGTTTACCCAAACTGGCGAGGTGTTCATCCGCTGTAGCGTCGAGGATGAAGACATCCATCTGTCGCCAAACGAAATGTACATCAAATTTGATGTGGTGGACAGCGGACCTGGCTTCACTGAGAAGGAGGCCGAGTCCCTGTTTAAACGTTTCAGTCAAATCGATGGCACCAGCACAAGACAACACGGCGGTACTGGTCTTGGTCTCGTCATTTCGAAGCAGCTTGCGCAGTTACACGGTGGCGACATGAGCGCCAAGGGCGTTCCTGATCAGGGCTCCACCTTCACTTTCTACATCAAGACCAACCTGCCCTCGGAGAACGACAGACCACCTATTCCTGCTTCGACGCCTGCGCCCACCTCTGGTGCCTCTATTCCAATGCTACCAATTTCGCCAGGTGTAGGACCTCTTCCAGTGCTATCAAAAGTGCCCTCTATGTCGTCTGAGCAGGCCATACCTTCTCCGACCATGCCCAGATTTGCGCCCGAAGTCACTCAGACTCCGTCGCAGTATGGCGACACCGGTAAAGAATCACCATCAGTGTCGTCTGCTAGCTCTGATCCATCTATTCGATCCGCCGTACGCACCAACAGTCTCCGCTCCGAGCGTTCATCTGTCTCGTCTGTACCTGAAGTCACCGTGCAGCCTGCGCAGATGAAGTTGTCAATGCCGCCGGTCGACATGAGGTCGCGCGCTAATAGCGCCTCTTCACGATCGATTGATGCATCACTCACATCAAACCCTGCACAGACACTGAAGGTTCCTACTGGCGGGCTATCTCCACCACCGATGTTCTCCATCTTGGTCGTTGCACCACTCAAGTACACTCGCGAAGCTACTGTACGGCATATCGATCAGACGTTACCTAAAAACGTTCCGCATCAAATCACATCTCGCGAAACATATGCCGAGTGTCGAGAACTGCTTGGCGGGAATGAGCCTGTGATCTTTACCCACGTTGTCGCCGTGCTTCAGGACGTGGAAGAGATCATAATGCTGATGGATGAAATACTGGGTTCGCCACACTCGACTACAGCTATAGTGCTCATCACGGATCTTTCGCAGAGGAAGAGGATCATGGAGCAGCAGCCAAAATATGACTACGACCAGCTCGTCAATGATCGAAGAGTCCGATTCGTCTTCAAACCGCTGAAGCCGTCCAGATTCGGTCTCATATTCGATCCTCAGAAAGAGCGCGAAATGAGCTTAGACCGCAACCAAGACAGCGCTCAGCAAGCAGCTGTAACTCAAAAGCAGGTTTTCGAAGAGCTCGCCCGCCGGCTTGGCAATAAGGACAAACGAGTGCTGTTGGTCGAGGACAACAGGGTCAATCAGATGGTCATTCTGAAGTTTTTGGCCAAAGTCAGCATCAAGGTCGATACGGCGCTGGATGGCGTGCAATGCACCGAAAAAGTCTTCTCTCAGACTCATGGATATTACTCGATCATTCTTTGCGATCTGCACATGCCCAACAAAGACGGCTACCAAACGTGCAAGGATATTCGCAAATGGGAGAAGAAGCAGCGCTATCCTTATCTTCCTATCATCGCGCTGAGTGCGAACGTTCTAGACGATGTGTACCAGAAGTGCGTGGAGGCCGGCTTTAACAGCTACATGACGAAGCCGGTGGATTTCAAGGAATTGTCTACAGTCTTGATGACATTCATGGATCCCAGCGACCCAGATAAGCCTCACGAGCTCATGAAGAAGAAGGCAAAGGATGCCAGGAAGAAAGCTTGATCAGCAAGATTAGATCACAAAGAGAGCACACAGAAACGATGTCACACGGACTATTTAGGGGAAGCGATGGAGTTCTTCTTTTAGGAAAGCAGGGTAGGCGTGGGATGGCGGTGGATGACTTTTTTCTGTTTCCCTGTCAGCGAAGGCGTTGCGCTCAATATCTCAGCATGGCATAGATCGGAGGGAAGCCAACGGCGTCTTGTCGTTTGAAATTTGCATTTGGGCTGGCGTTCGGAATGGTCATTGGCATGTGGGCTTATGAGTGAGCGAGGAATACTTCTTGTAGTATACTAGATTCCTGTTTGACGTGGCGGGAGGATTGTTCTCCTTTTCTGGGATGCTTCTAATACCTACAATTGAACATCAGGTACCTAGAAGTCGGCTTTATGGGTCTCAAGCTCGTGTAGCGCATCAGTCAATTTTCTCCCTGCTGAGTACTAGTGAGGGATGATGGTGCGAGCATGCTAATAAGAGGGAAAGAGTACGCTAGTGCACTTTGTCTGTAATATCTCCGTTCCGTTCAAGGACTTCAGCCTCGTTGATTTCTGGCTTGTCCTCCACTTCCTTACTCCGATCATCCTTTTTCACAGACCTCCATTCAATCGCCAGACTACCTGCAAGCGTAGCACAAGCCAAGGCAAGGACCAAATACCAAGTATCTAAAGTACTCCTGTGGATCCAAAACAGCACCTCATGCACTCTATCGTGTGATACATGTCTCACAAGCTCCGTCAATCCTCTTTCGTCAACAGCGTTTTCTCCAGAGAGAAAATCTTGAAGCTGGTTGGTGAAGATGACTTGCGCAATCGATACCATCACAGCCGGACCAAATGCTGACCCGAACAGCAGTACTGAAAGACCAATTGACACATCTCCGTCAAGGAATACTGTTTGTACAGCCGTCGTCGGACCTGTAGAGCCAACTCCATACCCAAGACCAAAAACTCCGGTGTACAGAATTCGCTTCGCGAGATTTGTATCCACTCCGAAGGTCGTCACGAGTCCGGCGGCAATCGACATGGTGATTGAAGCGAAGATCATAAAGGATGCGTAGTAGCCGCATGCACTCGTGCCGAAGCCTGAGAGTATGGCTCCAACCGTCGCGATTAGTAGGATCGGGAGCATTAAGAGACCGCTTTGGGCTGGCGTGTAGCCTTGCACTACTTGATAGTAGATTGGTAGGTAGTACTCTCAGGTATTGCCGGCGCTGTTTTGGAATAGGACGAAGGTGAGGCTTGTAAGTAAGGTTCGATTTTTGAGAATGCGGATGGGTAGGGCTGCCGCTTCACCGCGTCGAATCTGGTTGTAGGCAAAGATGACGGCGAGAGTTGTGGAGGTTACAAGGAGGGCGATTATCTAGAAGTCGTCGTGAGCATGTATGCTAAGAAGCCTGAGATGGGGCTCACTGTGCTGCTGTGCCAAGGATACCTCGTACCAGCCCAGGAAAAGGCCAGGAAGAGACATGTCAGTGCTGGGAGTAATATCAACGTGCTCAAGAAGTCCATTTCTTTGAGCTTGTCGCCGAGAGTCAGGCGTTCTGCTTCGTTTGAGCTGGCTTCTACTTTCTCTTCGAAGCAGAAGAAGGTCAATAGTAGTGTGGCGCCTCCGAGTGGCACAGCAATGTAAAAGCACCATCTCCATCCGATGGTCTGCGTGATTGCACCTCCAATCAGAGGACCAGCGACTGTCGTTAAGCCTTCTATAGCGCCCCAAAGCCCTAGAAAGGTAGGACGTATGCGAAGAGGAGTCGAGTGGGTGAGCATGATGTAAGCTCCAGCGTCAAGACCGGCTGTCCCAATTCCTGCGGCTGCTCTACCGATTATGAGCATTGTCGACGAGACTGCTGTGCCGCAAAGAAGAGAGCCAAGAAAGGAGAAGATGTTGGCGACGAGGAAGATGCGCTTGATTGGGAAGAGTTTGTAGGCTTTGCCGTACCTTGCTTTTCATCAGCGGCTGGAGCACGGTCTTTCGTGATGGAGAATGGTTACAAGAATTGAAATGAGCACTGTGTGAGACGAAAGGCAACGGAATACCAACCAACGTCCGCACTCGTGTGGAAGTGATCTGTGATTCGAGGCACTTGATCGGATTAGCAATTCTTCCATTTCATCGTCCGTTACATAGACCGGCTGTCACACCTGCTGTGGCGACAATGCTCATGTCTAAAGCGCTAAGCACAATGACCGCACCAAGATTGAGCATAAGGAGCCATAGTTTGAGTCCTGTCGGATATTGAGATGCTCTGGTCTCCTCTGCGCCAGCCTTCTTATCATGTGGAAAGTCTGGCACTCCTTCAGTTTCTGTCTTGACTTCCTTGCCGAAATGGCGCGCGACCTCGTCGGCTGCATCATGGTCGGCTTGGATAGCAGAGTTCTGCTGATAGTGGTGTTTAGAGTGCACATCATTCGTCGTAGCGCTCAGATTCACGTCTGAATATGACATTGGAAGGGTCTGTCGCGCTCCAATCTATGAAGGACAGCGAAGAAGTGATGCAAACACTGAGAGATTAGCTCAGTACGATCCTGGTACGCAAGCCCCGCCATGCAAGGCAAGGCTGCGAGGCGGTGAATTGGTGCTGCCTGAATTGGTGCCTTGCGCGGCGCGTCTGAGGGTCACCACAAGATAGATCATGTTGTCGACCGGATCTCATCTTTCAGATATGGATGCTCGAGTGCCTAGCGAAAGTCAGCATTCTATGGTTCAGACAAGTCAACTGCAGGCACACCTCATTAGCAGTCAAACGCCAAGCAGATTCGTATTGAACCATATGTCTGACAAGATTCCTGGCTTCAGCTTCGGCGTCAGGTAGAATATCTTCCCAAGTCTTTGCAGGGTACTTGGTGAAATTCATCTTGCCCCAGTCAGGCATTCTCTCGGCTTCTGGCCAAGTCGTGAGGTCTGGCGTTCCCAATTTCTGGAACATGCTCTTGATGAGAGCTAGCTCGCTTCCCAAGTCACCTGCATCAAACAGCGTCTCGCGATTAAGGCATACGACTTGTGCTGCTACGCAGCCCGCTGCCCACATATCCAGGACCGAGTCGTAGGAAGAGTAGCCGAAGAGAAGCTCAGGTGGGCGATAACAGGTAGTGCCGACATCGAGCATCTTCTGGTCTGAAGGCTCTGAAGCCGGATCGTCAGCGCACCAAGCAATACCGAAGTCGGCAAGATATGCTGGTCCGGCAATGCCAGCGAGGAGAATGTTTGAGGGCTTGATATCGCGATGGATAATGTTCAGACGATGGAGGTGGGCCAGAGCACTAAAGAGGTCTCGCAGGATTGACCGCCGTGACTGCGATGTCAGCTGTTTCGTGTGCAACAGCATGTTCAGGTCATGTGGCATATAAGGAAAGGCCAGCACGAAAGATCCTCCGGCTTGATAGAACGTCTCTAGCAAGGGTATGGTGTGGTCACTCTTCGCCTTCGCCAAGATCCTTGCCTCTCGATGAGAGTCGTGAGGCGGCGTCATCATGGAAGGATTGGTGAGCTTCAATGCCACGACCTTTGGCGTCTTGCTGCCAGGATGTGGTTCAGGATGGATAGCGCGGAAAAGCTCGGAGAACAGGCCGTCTGCAAAGTGCTGTGCATTCAGATACTTGCCAATTCGAGCTCCAGTCTGAGGAAGATTTGGGGAGATGTGTTCGTCGGCATGCTGGTCTTCTGCCGGTCCACGCTCAGCAGCAGCAAGAAGCAACTGCACAGACTTTGCACAGAGCTCGTGATACTCGTGCTGCTGGACGTCAGCCATCACACATCGAGCGCTGGCATACGGCGTACCAGTGACAGTGCATCTTTCCTTGCTTTCTCCTCTGTGGCCTTGGCGTACTTGCGTGCCTCTGCAGGCTGACAATCGGGGTGGGCGGTTTTATATGCCGACACGCTGAATATGGTCAGCGCGCTTGCCAGGACGCACTCGGAAATGTAGGCACTCACTTGCATTTTCGTAGTCTCACTCAGCCTGTCGGAGAAGGAGACGGCCTTGCGCCAATCCTGGGCCATAGTGAAAGGGGTCCTCACAGCACTTGACTATGTGGGTGCATGTTACGTTACGGTCTGCTGCAAAATGGTGCCCAGAAGCACGCTAACCCTGTTTGGCTGTGCTGCGTCTGCGGGTGACGCCTAAACGCGAGCTCCAGACACCAGACACCACCGAAACACGTCCAACTGCATCTTCTTGCGCATCTCAAAGCGACTTTCTCGAAGCCTGTCCCCTACGTATCGACAGCGACATCGACATCGACATCGACACCACTGCCCCAGACACGACGATGGACTCGCTGGTGGCCCAGTACAGCCGGCCGGCATACCAGAACGAAGGCTACGACCAAGAGGACCAGCAGCAACTCCTACTCGACGTGCAGCCACAATTGAATCTCAACTTCGCACTCCCGCCAGTCGCATCATCGGCGCAATGGCTGCGCGCAATGACTGATGACCACTCCAACCCCAACTGCCCCATCAAGATCGCCCACGGAACCACTACACTGGCCTTCAGGTTCAAGGGAGGCATTATCGTCGCCACAGATTCGCGCGCAACAGCAGGAAATTGGATTGCTAGTCAAACGGTGAAGAAGGTCATCGAGATCAACAGCTGCTTGTTGGGTACTATGGCTGGTGGCGCTGCGGTGAGTTGAGGCTGGGAGAAAGCACCAGCCAAAGTCAGTATACTGACGAGAATGACTACAGGACTGCCAGTACTGGCTTGCATATCTCGGCATGCAATGTCGTCTCCATGAACTGCGGCACAAGCGCCGCATCTCAGTCGCAGCTGCCTCCAAGATCCTGGCCAACCTGGTGTACAGCTACAAGGGCATGGGCCTGAGCATGGGCACAATGTGCGCAGGCGTGACACCATCGGAAGGACCAGCGCTCTATTACATTGACAGCGACGGTACGCGCTTAGCAGGAAACTTGTTCTGTGTCGGTTCCGGTCAGACCTTTGCCTATGGTGTGCTCGATGCAGAGTACAAGTACGATTTGGAGGACGAGGATGCGCTTGAGTTGGGACGGAGAAGTATCCTTGCTGCTACACACAGAGATGCATTCTCTGGTGGGTACATCAACCTGTACCATGTCAAGGAGGATGGTTGGGTGAAGCATGGCTTCAACGACACCAACCCGGTAGGCCATCGTCCCTCATTCATTGCAACATTATTGACTGACCACGTCGACAGATCTTCTGGAAGACCAAACTGGAGAAGGGCGAGTTCTCCAACGTCACCGCGAACCTCGACTAGGTCGTCGTCGACATTGCATTTGCATAAGAGCATGGGCGTAGAGGGCTTTAAGCGCACAAGAGGCGCACTTGTAGTTATACTGGATGTGACATTAGAGCACGCTGCTACGCATGCACCAGTCAGAGAGATATAGGTGTATGACGATGAGATATCAAGATCTCTGCGCACAGGCGGCTTCTCACATTGGGATAGGACATCGCTCGTACTTGCTTCGGCAGGGGCGGCCAGGTGCGTTATTGTGGCATACTGACGTTGAAATACAGATAATTGCCCCGATATGCAAAGAATCGATAGCGCGATTCGTTGTCGACGTGTCAAGCCGTATACAATCTCATCTGTGAGCGGCACGGTCAGCGGCTCCAGGAAAGACAGGATTTCCAACTGTATCAATGTCGGTTAGACGTATGGTGGATACAGATCAACACGACCGTGCTCAAGAGATGACTGAATGAGGCCATACTCCGAACGATCGACGAGAAGTGAGAAGCACAGTGACCGGGATCTCAACGTACGTACGGCACAGCGCAGGCCCGGCTCGACCACAAATTCCCACACGACACTATTACATACGTGCAACCTGCACCACGCCATTCTCAAAATGTTGTGAACAACTTGTGATAGACAACAGGGGTTGCAGGTTTTGCAGGAGCTGTGGAGTCGGCTTGAAAGAAGCCGAAAAGAGTGATCCACTCTCAGGCTATCACACAGTCGCGGGCCGAATTTAGAAACCGCTTTACAGAAATTGAACATCCCGGCCTACGTCTGCATAGGCTACACGCGATTAGTGCCAAGTCACTATTGACCGGTCATCCCCGGCGGCCTAGTCGTGGTCTACCGTCTACGACAAATCTGACCTGTTATTAAAATCGATGTCGAATGGTTCTGAATGTGGCTGCAGTCAGAAGCGAGATCTTGGCAGGCTCGGGTGATCGGCTGGGCCGAGCCAGATCAGACGCTGTACATCATGATGTCCTACAATTGCACACATTCTCTCTGTGGGGGAACTGCGCCTCGCTGACAGCCATGCCTAGGCACGCGACGTACCGACCAGCGGCTTGCGAATGTGCTGGAATGACAATGACAGACTTGAATGCTGAAACTGATGTTGATGTAAGGACTATCTAGCTATCGAGGCGAGAAGTCCTAAAGAAGCAAGTTGCAGCCTCAGGCACTATGCACGTGATAGACCCTGAGACCCTGAAAGGTGGGTAACAACTATCTACTTCAAGTCACCCCCTTATCGCGTGCATATAGCTAAACAAAGAGACAAAGCACAAAAAGGGGTACCTAAACAAGTACAGTTAAACTAGGCCATTTCTATCTTAATTAATACTTAGTATTAATACTTAGTAGTAGGCTAAGCGGCGCTCTAAATAGCAGCCTTATAATCGACTAGGTTTAACTATTCGATAAAACGAGTATACTTAAGTTTATTAAGCGGCTTAGTAAAGCTATTAGCAATCTAATTATAAGTGCTAATCTAGGTAATAGTAATAGTACCGTCGGCGATCTTCTTACGGATATAGTATACTCGAGTATCTATATACTTAGTATAGCTATCGCTTATCGACTAAGTAATAGCAATAGCGGACTAGTTATCCTTATATAGCGTAATAGGCTTAATAGTGCCTTTATAACTAATCTCTTATAGCAACCGAGCTAAAGCAATAGCTTCCTTAGCGCTAGTTATTAGCTAAATATACTTAGCCTCTATAGACGATAGAGTAACTAAGGCCTAGCGGCCTAACTTGTAAAGTAGTAGTCTACTAGCGAGTGTAAAGTAGAAGCTGCCTATTAAGCGGCGAGTAACTAGATCGTTAGCCTATAAGGCGTCGTAGTATCTAGCGAGGTTTAGCTTATAGCTATTAATGTCCTATATTCCTTAGAAGCGTATACTACGACTTAGAGTGCCGATAAGGTACTTAATAAGCTATAGAAGTGTATAATAGTGCTCTTTAGTCGGGTTAGTAATAAAGCGTAATAGTAAGCTAGTAGTATAGTAGGTGTCTAGTCGGGTAATTATAGTAGGCTATAGAGCCTTACTAATACCCTCTTAGTATTTAGTCTTAAAGGCAGCACTAGCAGTATAGCCTTTAGGGGCGCGTTAAATAGCTAACTTAATATAGCGCGGAGCTATTAGCGTAGTAGGGGCTATACGGCCTTATATACTATACTTCTTAGCTAGGTAGTTTAAATAGGCGTCCTATACTATATAGATAGTACGGTCTTAGCGATTGCGAATAATGCGCATACCGAGATAGTAGTAAAGGTCGCTAAGTTCTCGTATACTAAAACGGTCCTTTAGTAACTAAGCGACTGCCTATAGGGTAGCTAAGGAGTATGCGATAATAATTATATTATCTATATAGATAATAATAATAGAGTTGCTAACCGTGTGTTTAAACACGTATACGTCGCTTATTATAGGAATGAAGTTTAGGGTCTTTAAGTACTTCCGAAGCTCTTTATACTATAGTATAGGTAATTGCTTAAGGCTATAAAGGGCCTTTAGCAATAAGTAAACTATACTCTTACTACTACGGTCCTTAAATCTATGTAGCTACTTAACGTAGATCTTATACTTATCGCTAATTATAGCGTTTAAGAAGGCAGTAAGAATATCAAACTACTAAGCCTCTAAGTCGTAGTAAGTAATTATACTAAACAAGGTACGAAGTGTGCTTAGTTTAGCAATAGCGGTATAGGTCTCGTTATAGTCTTCGCCTTTAACCTAAGTAAAGCCCTTAACAACCTAGCGAGCCTTAAATCGACTAATTATACTATTAGCATCTCGCTTAATAGTAAATACCTATCTGCTACGGACGACCTTGCGGCTAGCAGGTACCTCCTACTTAGTAACGTAGATCTAGGTAGCGTTGTCTATAAGCGACTTATACTTAGTCTTATAGGCCTCCTTCTATTATAGCTAATATAGCGACTCCTTAGCGGCCTTAAAGCTCTTTAGAATTAGAATATTATTATTCGGGGTGTTGCCTTATTTAGTAATATAGCAGGCGGCTATAAAGCCCTTTATATAGGCTATTAGTATGTTAGCAAGGCTGCGGCGCTCTTTACGACTAGCGCCTATATCGGCTAAATAGCTACATAATAGGTCTCGAGCTAACTTATTGCTACGAGTTAAGCGTATAGTACGCGGACCTATAGTATTAGGGCGTTTAAACTTAGGTAACTAGCCTAGCTCGCCCTTCTTAGCATTAGGGTTATATAGTAGCTCCTTATTAGCTAAATTGAAGTCCTCTTTATTAGCGGCCGGCGGTAGTTAAATGTTAGGTATATCGTCCTTAATCGGTAGTAGGTCGACAACCTTATTTAGCAATAGAACGGGTGCCTTAGTAGGTTCTTCTTGCTAAGGCAGAAGTTGCTAGACTATACTAGCAGCTTTAGTTGCCTTCGGAGCCTTATTCGTAGTCGTATTGAATAGGGCAGGCATAACTAACTTAATAGTTATAAACTCGCTCTTAGACGGGTCGTTAGAATTAGTATATAGCTTAATGCCCTATAGCAATCGAAGGTTACTATCTAACTTAATAAATTAGATATCCTTCGAGGTAATAACCTTATACTTATTAGGCAAATAGATTATATATTTACCAGAGTCTACTAAGTCCTTAGCATAGCTAACTAGCTTGCTAAGCTTGCCTCGAGCGTTAAACTTCTTACTACGAGCTACACTATAGTCGTAGATAATAGTCGTATAGCTATAGGCACGTAGGTACTAAATGCGTAGCTACGTACGTAACTAGCCGAGCTCCTTAGCTACTACTATATAGGGGCTATCTCTATCGAGTGCCTAGCTTAGTATAATATTAAGTACCTATATAGCGGTAGTAACAGCCTGCGGCTATAGAGCCTTTAGAAGGTTAGCCTATAATATTATCTTCCGAGCGGTCGTATATACGATATAGTTGCTAACTTTAGCAAGGCTATTTTACGTAGAAGAATAGGGAGCCGTAACCTGCAGTATAATGCTATTATCGTAGGCCTAGGACAGGAGTTAATTGCTACTATATTTACCCTCTCTATCGAGGCGGTAAATAGGAATTAAGTAGCCGGTTTAAGTGCGAATATAAACCCGATAGTCCTTAATTGCTACTATAGCGCCTAACTTTAGGCTACTAGTATATTCGTAGCGATATACTAACTTAGCGCACGTAAAGAGCGTAAAGTAACGCTCCTTACAAAGGCTAGGGTTAGTAATACAGACTACGTTAATATAGACAATATAGTAGATCGTAGATAGCCGCATTCGCGGCAATCGGCTATATTCCTTATAGGCTATAGCTAAGCGGTAGGCAATGCAGTTATAGAAGGTCTGCTTCTTATCGCTAGTAATAATAATATAACCTTTAGCCTCTAAGTATAGAAGCTTAGTATAGTAAATATAGCTAAGACGTAGGTGCTATTCGTCTATAGTGCCTATTAGTACCCCCTTCTTCGACAGAAGCGTAATAACCTAGCTATTAGGACTAGACGTCGGGGTATATAGAAACGGAAGGCTATCCTTACAGTAGGTTTAAGCGATAGTAACCTTATTGCCTTTAGTATCGTATATAAACAAGACTCGCTTATCGTTACGGTAGAAACAGCCTTTATCGGTAAGCTTCTCGGTTAATAGTAGGTTAGCTACTAGACTAGGTATATATAGTGTCTCCGATAGCCGTAGTATACTTATTCTATACTTATTAACAACCTCGGTACTAGCTATACTAATAAGCGTAGCGTACTTAGTATTGCTACTAAAGCGAATAGGTATACTGCAGCCCTCGTATTTGTTAGAGCTAAAGAGGTTACACGTAATTGGCATGTAATTAGGCCTAGTAAAGCTAGGGTCTTAGTGCCTTAGGCAGGGCTTAGCGCTTAGCGTTAGGCTAACTCTCCTACCTTCCTCCCTCTCCTCCTAGATCCTTATCGAATACTACTTATACCTACTACTACCCTATCTACCTACTAATATACCCTTCTTATACAGTATTCGATCTACCCTTTAAGGGCAGTAGCTAGATAGTCCCTATTTTAAGATTTCAGCGGTATAGCTACGAATAAGACTAATCTAACTATATTGCGCCCGAAGAACGGGACCTATATGTACTATTCTATCGAAACAACTATACTAATTATTAAGCAAGGCCTTCTATACGGCCTATTAT